TGGAGCCATTGTGATCTCCTGGCGGGAAGGGGGTACAGGGAGCTGTCCCTGCTAGGAGAACACAGTGATTATTGCTAGTGGCTGGCATACGTATAAACCTGTTTGTTATTTAGCATTTAAAAATATGCTTTTCCAATCACTTTAGCAATTAAGTAAATCACAAATTGAAGGCTGTATCGTTTTTTTTTTTTTTTATTAAAATATATAATAATATTGTTCTATACAGTTTTAATTTAATCTGGAGCAAAATGTAAAGAATTCTGGTCGAAAAAAAAAAAGCCAAAAACAGTAGGTTCAAATGACAGAAAATACCTTGTGAGTTCCTAGATAGTACATGGCAGTTTAAGACCTTCTTACTGCTTAGCAGCAAAAACTGCTGCTTCCCCGGCCTGATCTGTATCAGTGTAAGTGTGTGGTGGCCTCAGCTTGCTGGCAAAACATTCAAGGGCAAGCTGCAATTGACAAACGACTAGTAAACAGTATTACTGCTCAAAAGTGAAGAGAGTGGTGCAACACCCATAAATTGTGGAATATTGATCAATGGAAGACTGTAATATGGTCTGTTGAATTGAGCTTCACGCTGTTCATAACCACCGGACATGTTTGCGTGTGGTGAACACTGTTCCAAGCTTACGGCCAGGACTGTCTTGTGCCAATGGTAAAGCATGGTGGCGGTGGAATCATGATTTGGGCAGCCAGAACCTTGGTATTCTTGGACATCATCACTCTGAAAGGTAGAGTCACTGCCAACGACTATGTACAAATTTTGGCCAGCCATGTGCACCCCATGGTGCAGACATTGTATCCTGAAGACAAAGCAATTTACCAAGATGATAATGCTCCAATTCGCACAGTTCGTGTTGTCAAATCGTAATTTGACGAGCATGCAGACAAAGTCTTGCACCTTCCCTGGGTGCAGTTACTGGACCTCAGTGTCATAGAGCCACTATGGTCAATTTTGGAGAACAAGGTTCAGGCTAGTTTTCCGCCTCAGGCATCTCTGCCAGACATGGAACGATTTTTGCATGAAGAGGGGTATCAGATTCTATTACCCACGATCCAAGACCTATATTTGACAATTCTCAAGGGAATTCTGGCTGTTTTGGATGCCAAAGGCAGTCCAACACCATATTAGGTAACAATTTAATTCTTTTACTTGGTGTTTCCATAATTTTATCCAACCGCTGTATACATTTATACAGATCGGGTCAGGGGAGTGGTGGTTTTTGTTTCTATGATAAACACTACTGGATGGTGACACTTCATGCCGGCACCCCTATTCCTGAGTACCAGCGGGACAACACATGCTTCTTCTGCTTATGGCGGCACTACAAATTACATGCATCTTACTGCTTAGCATTCTCTTTTTCACTGGCTAAGTCTCTTGGTCTTTATATTCCCTGAATATTTTATGTTTGATGAGAGATGCAGGTCCATATTTGCTATTTATCAGACATAAACCTTGCAGGCTTGTTTATGTTCCACTGTTTGAGACCAGAATGAGCGCATATGTTGGATTTCCAGACAGAACTGTGAACACGTCTGCACTTCTTCTCATGTGAGGAAAATTCTTTTCCCTTTCATGCTTTTTAGGCAGTTAGGAAACATCTGTCTCTTTATAGTGATGTTCTGGCTCATTTTCCTAAACACAGTAGCTTGTTCAAATAAGTGCCTATGAAATGTATTTTTCTGTGTGCAGAAACTATCCTTTCCATTTGAAATGACACAATTTTTTCATTGCGTATGTCCTGCTCTCTAAGTTAATTAAGTGTGAAATGTTCTGCATTGATCTGGTGAGGTGACACTGGCCTCACACAAATGACCAGGAAAGCTTCAATGACAACACACATTCATCTGTACTCTTCAGCACTATTGACTCAGTGTTTGTGGTGCTTCAAAACATCTAATGAGGCTTCTAGGTGGCCAGGACAATGTGTCCATGGCTATCTGTACTCTTGGAAATATTACAGAGTATGGAAGTGCGTAGTTTCATTTGGCAATGCATGAGACTAAAATTGAATAAACACCTCGGACAGAAATGACAGAACATGATATTATTTGAAGGCCTCAAAGAAGATGCCAAGATCTACTTCATGGAAATTTGTAGACCAGTTAATCTCCCAATTTTTTTGGATGTATTGAGCTTTCCAAGTATGAAGCAGTCTAAGGGCATCCAGAACACAAGTTCAATTTTTTTTTTTTTGCTGGGATTCTGTAGTCACAGTAAATTCTGTGATTTAGATTTTGGCTTATATGAGGATTATACAAATGGGAACACACTTGTTCCAGTTTTTTTCATAGTACAGAGCCTTTAAAGGGGTAAGCCACTAAGGAACCATATTTCAGATTTGTGTGGATATCGGCAGAATAAATTGCCCACTGGGTTTATGCATCTTTTGAGGGCTCTGAAAGAGTTCTCCACTTTGCCTTATTTACACACCCATGCTCCCACTATTTCTGGTGGATTTCTGCTTGTTTTTATAATAATAGTCTGGAATGGCAACAACCCTCAGACGTCTCTACCAGCAGCCATAGAAGTAGAGTTCATGGTGGGTGAGGCAGAGCTGGACTCTGGGGAGAAACTACTGAGTTCTGATCTGAGAGATAAAGGAAACCAGTGTGACTAAACCTCTAGTGTCTGTGACTATGGTTGAGGTGTATCTGCTGAGTTGTGGCATCATTTTCAAACCTCATTAACAGGTAGAAATAGACAGTTGAAAATACCCATTCTCTAGTGTTGTGAAGACTGTATCTTGTACAGCTTGCATGGCTGTATTTTTTGGGTAATTTGTTGGTGAGCCCTGACAAGGGGCACTAAAGCCGAGTGCTGGGATTGCCCTTTGAACGTCCAGATGATAAACATCAGGCAGACTTTGCAGAGTACTTGAATTTTTTCAGACTTGTGTAATGTTTGGGTTGTATATGAAGCGTTAGTCACCTCAGTAGATAATTTCAAGCACCTTTCAAGAAATGGTCATCATGTTGATTGTACATTTCTATACATATCCCAGTGTTCTTCCCCCATCAGTGCCGTAATGAGCCAGGCATGAAATCTTCAGATATTGAATTTAAAATTTGATTTTCTTTTTTGTAACACAAAATTACTAGTTGATATCTGTGGATTCTTTTAGACTCTTTCTTTCCATCAAGTCCATCAATCCTTATCAACTGTGTGGAGTAGACCTTTAAATGCAGTGGGGTTGATTAAAGCTGAAAAAGTGAGAACCAAAGCAAATGTGGAACTATTACACGTAGCACCTTATCAGAATTTTATCTTCCATTTTCTGAGAAAATCAGACACAAAATCTGCAAGTTAAAGTAGAACTATTCAGAATTTTCTTTCATATATTTTTGATTTATTTTGGATAGAGGAAGGGAGGGTTATAAAACCATCAGATTTTTTGTCAAGCTCTGACAAAGGACTTTTGACAAAGGAGCATGCCCCCCCAGAGTTGGTGCGCATGCTCCGAAACGTCGTTGCATCACTTTCAGTGACGCGGTTACGCCGAACAATGCGTTCCATCGCACACCACAGTGGTTGTTCTGGTCGCATTCCACCACACACCCGGCCTCTGGACCTTAGAAATGGACGCCTTGACCCGCAGCCTATGCCAACCAGTCCCAGAGGACTACAGTGGACTTGAGATTTGCCTGTATTTACTTTCTATAATATGAGTGTATATTCAGAGCATTGCTTTTTAATACAGTGTATAATGGTCTGCACTCAGTGGTGCCTTCTCTACCTTCTTTCACATGGTGTACATCAGTCTTTCCCTCACTTTCTGTCTTTTAGATCTTATTGGTCAGTTTAAGATATAATAAAATATTTCATAGTAATCAGGAGCCTAGTCAGATTTTGAGTCTGTCAACTGTTTGTTCCTAGTACAGTAACTGACTATTCTAAGCACTCCAGACATAGCAGGAGCGCCCCCTAGTGCACCCGTATCCTAATCTGTGGTATCCAGAGTGTAAAAACAGAAGAAATGTTTTCTGTTTAATCAGTACAGTATTCATCCCTAAAAAATTAAGTGACCAAGACCATGCATGCTCAGAAACAAAAGAATACATTACAATACAATATCAAAAGAGTATATAAGCGAGCGCAAAATTGAGAACAAGTATATATATATATGAGTATACAGGCAGCTGCTGGCACTTCAGGGCATAGGTAACGGTCCCAATACAAATATGTGAATGAATAAAGTGCAGCGCTATAAACGCACAAATAATATGAAAATATGTATACAGTGATTCTTATAAAATATATATATATGCAAAAGTATAAAGTGCTATTAAGTGCAGTTGTGCATATAAGTGAATCAATCAATGTCCATGATATATCTAAAATAAAATCAGCAAATAATGAGCAATAATAGTCCTCAGGTTGATTTGCAATACATCCAAGTGACAAAGTGCAGATGTGCATATATCCACGGAGGGAATCCACCTCAAACGGGTGTACACTCACCAGAAGTTATATATTAGCAGGCATTTGTTACAATCTGTCACATCTGGGGGTGCAGGAACAGAGAGGCAGCTTAGAGGTTAATCCTCCAGCATCATCTGTGTACAGGTGGGGCGAGTATCCCTTGTCCTGGGAAAGATAGCTCAACCACAGGAGCCAGAGATGCTAATATAGTATAGTATTTATTATTCATATATCGGTTTACAACTATTAAAAACATTCCACGTGGAGTAAGGTAAAAACCAAGTACCAAGATGGCCACCACTCCGTTCCTCGGCAGCAGCGGCGTGACGTCAGCAATGCAGGCTCCACCCAGGGCAGCTGCAGGAGTGCTGCTGCTGTCGGGGAGCTGCATTTCATTGATGGTATCATGAATTCACAGATGTACTGCTCTATATTGAAAGAGAAGATGCTACCATCACTCCGTGTCCTTGTTCGTCGTACCCTTTTATAACATAATGATCCAAAACACACATCTAAGGCCACTGCTGCATTTGTGAAGAAGAACAGGGTGAAAATGATTCAGTGGTCAAGTATGTCTCCTGATCTGAACCTAATCGCTCCGTTTCCGCCACCCCCCCTCTGCCAATCCCTCCACTGGCTTCCGATTGCGCAACGGATCAAATTCAAAATCCTAACGCTGACGTACAAAGCTGTCCACCATACTGCCGCGAACTACATCACTGACCTAATATCCAAGTACCGCCCAGCACGCACACTCCGCTCCTCACAAGACCTCCTTCTCTCTAGTTCCCTGGTCTCCTCCTCCCATGCCCGCCTCCAGGACTTCTCCAGGGTGTCACCCATCCTCTGGAACTCCCTGCCCCAACCCATCAGATTATCACCTACTCTCCTCTCCTTTAGGCGCAAAACCCATCTCTTCAGGGAAGCCTACCCCGCCCCCTGCTAACTTGCCGACCTCCTCCACTCTTCCTACCACTCCATCCCCCACAGCTATCTCCTCCTGTGCCACCATCCCCTCCCTCCTAGATTGTAAGCTCCAAAGAGCAGGGCCCTCGATCCCCTCATGTTTTGCATTGTATTGGTATTGTTCTGTCACATGTTCTGTCCCCCTTTGTAATGTACAGCGCTGAGCGAACTATTGGCGCTTTATATAAATACTGTATAATAATAATAATAATAATAATCGGACACCTATGGGGAATTCTGAAGAGACAAGCTGAGCATGACTCTCCAACCGGCATCCAGGCTCTAAAAGAAGTCGTTCTTGAAGAATGGAAAAAGATAGATGTTGCAACATGTTGCCAACTTGTTCATTCCATGCCTAGAAGACTTGGTGCTGTCCTTACAAATCATGGAGGTCATACAAAATACTAGATGGAGGAGTTTTTGTTGTGGGGGGTAATTCATTTTTGCATCAACTAACTTGAGTAAGTTATATTATTAACCTTACTTTCATTTAATGAGCTAAACAAATGTTCTTGTGTTCTTTTAGAGATTGATTAAAATCTTACTTTTCAAAAGGGGTGTACTCATTTATGCTGAGCACTGTGTATTCCATAGTTTGTGGACTCAAAACATTCACACAGACTAAATAATATACACCGTTTTGGATTATTTTTACCCCAGAAGTATAGCAGAATACATTTTGGGCTAATTTTATAACAAAAACTTTTTTTTTCAAAATGTTCTGTATTTATTCATTTAAATAGTAAGAATAAAAAAAATCCAGTGGTAATCAAATCTATGCGTCTCAAAAATATAAGAATAACAATTTCATATGGGTACAGTGTTGCATGACTGAGTAAGTGTGATAGTGCTGAAAGCTGTAAATTGGCCTGGACTGGAAGGGAGTGAAAGTGTCCGGACTTGAAGTGGTTAAAATCCAGTAATGCATATCTTCCACTGCTCTGCACATGCTCAGTTGCTCTCTAATCTCAGCACTGTGCCATCTGAGCCACTAGCAGCTGGTCAGCTGACAGCTTTAAGATTTACTGTTGCTAAAAGGGGAAGAAAACAACAGGAATGATACAGAATGTGTGGAGTGAGCACAGATTAGGAAGTGTCCGGACTTGTGGTTAAAGGATCTGTTACAGACGGCTTGGTGCCAGATACCACAGCATACTGTCAGAGGTCTCGTGGAGTCCATGCCTCAATAAGTCAGGGCTGTTTTGGCATCAAAACCGGGTGCCTACTCAATATTAGGTGGGTGGTCACCTAATATATATTGCCTTTTATCAACGTTACTCTGTCCCTCTAGGATTTCATGTACGTTAGCATCCTACAGTTTTCAATTTTCACACAACAAAAAGGCATCTGTGCTAAACAAGAAATCCAAGGGTTTTTTTTACCCCATCTTATAGCCCCCCTAATCTGATGCAACAATGTAGAGCTACACCTGAAAATATATTTTTAAAAGTATAGCACTGCATGTTTATTGTGTTATCTCACTATAATTTTACTTTTCAAGCCACATCTCTCATTCTAGATGGAAGACCAGTGGTGTTCTTGCAGCATGGATTGCTCGCAGATGGCAGTAACTGGGTCACTAATCTGGAAAACAATAGTTTGGGATTCATCCTGGCTGATGCGGGTTATGACGTGTGGATGGGGAATAGCCGAGGAAACACTTGGTCCAGGAAACACAAGACCCTGTCACCTGCTCAGGATGAGTTTTGGGCTTTTAGGTAAGACAGGCTGTATATTGTGAGCTTGGAGCATGTTACAATTCCATGACAGTGGTGTTCCTATAAAATTGCTAATCATTTGTTTAGGGTTCCAACTAAGCTGAAAGAGAGATTTGGGTACTGCAGAAGGTACAGCTGGGGAGCATATGATGGCATATCCCAGCTTTGTGAATTATCACAATTATGTAACCTGACATGTACCAGTTTATCTGCAGTAGCCTACAATAGGTAACTTTAGGGTTGGTTCACACTGGAATTTGCACAGAAACACGCTACATTCACATGCAGTTCTGTGCAGTGCGATTTTAGCCCATTCATTTTGAATAGGCTGACATCCTACTGCATTGCTCCAAAAGTAGTGCATGCAACTACTTTCCTTTTGCAAATTCACTGCAACCGCATCGCATCCTACTTTTGTACCATGTGATCCAGTATAGGCAAACGCGTTGCATTTGTGACCTGTGTTTGGATTGTCAACCTAATATTGATGCCTACTTCAGATCGCAACTGCAGTGCGTTTTGAATGCAGGAAACGCTCACGGAACTGTTATGGAACAAGAGCGTTTATCGCTCCTGACAGGTGGCCCATAGAGTAATGCTTGCTCATATTGATGGTGAGTTGAGACTTGTTCTCTTATAATCTTGTCCAGCCAAGCATTTTTTTTTACATTGGTGGCCACTGGAGAGAGGCTCCCTTAAATTGGTGGTTGGTAGGAGAAGGTCCCCTTTTCATCAGTGATCATTGGGAGAAGGACCCCATTAGGCTAGTTGTTAGTGGGTGAAGAGCACCAAACTCACAATGGTGGTCAGCGGGAAGAATGCCCCCCACCCTTCGAGATAAAGCTAAAGAGATTGTTATTGTCAGTGGTTGCTTATTGCTCAAGGAACCCCCAACAGCCTCTGAAGGAGCCCTATGGATTCAGAGCCGAGCGTTCTTTTACATTGGTAGCCTGTGGAGAGAGGCTTCCTTAAATTGGTGGTCGGTAGGAGAAGGGCCCCCTGTACATTGGTGGTTGTTGGGAGAAGGATCCCATTAAACTGGTTGTTAGTGGGTGAAGAGCTTCCTGTGAAGAAAATGTGGTTGAGAAATGATGGTCTAGATATTCTGATTTTCTGGTAAGTAAAATCAACTTTCTGGTACGTAAAATCCAGCAACCTATATAGTCAACCACTTATAAGTATCCCTATAAGCACCACTGTTTGAGGAGCTTTCCTATAGTAGAAAAAAAAGGGAAAAGAATGAGAAGCACCAATCTCTATTGAATGCTATACAAAATAATGGATAAACTGTATTCAGCAAATGTTATAAGTTCAGTTTTCAAAACTCGGGTCACCTGTGAAGTGTTATGAAGAAATGTTTTTCCTGGAATCACTAAAACAGGTGAAACAGTCAGCCACTGCCGCAAGGGTGTCATATTATAGAAGATCTATCATTACCGTCATTCTGTGAATGAAGTCTTGTGTGTTGATAGTGATTCCTGGAAAGTGTAGGGACTGTTTTCTTCTTCCAAACACTTTACAGGTGTAGAGGATGTAAGCCTGACTTGCTCCCACAACATCTGGTGAGCACAGTTTTATTGATGGTACATAGGGCTGGCAATTTTCCTTTGCTCTTTGTTACAAGTGTTTAGAAGAACAGCAGTGATGTACAGTAACCTGGGAAAAACCAATAAAGCACTGCATTTACTGAAACTGGAGAGTGCAAAATCTGGTGCAACTCTGGATAGAAACCAATCAGCTTCTAAGTTTTATTGCTAATGTTTAATTGAACAAGCTGAAGTTAGAAGCTGATTGGCTACAATGCAATTGTTATCCTGGTAATCCTGCCATCTAATCACTCCCTGTTCTACGGTGACAACTGTACTGAGCAGCGTTGTCACCATGGGTGAGAAAGTGTGGTAGGACTACATTACACTGTGTTGGGACTACATAATCCACAGAGATAGCTGGGAGCAATAACAATATCCAGGGAACGGATAATAGTTCAAAGGCAGAGAGTAAAGGAAGGTATCAGCTCACAAGATTTCAGGCTGAATGAATAGCTATTTTTTTTTTCTGCGCTAAGCAAACATACAAGTCAACGCTTTCAATAAAAGATTTTACAGACCAAAAGGGAGAGAAATTTAGTTTTGAGTTTACATTCCCATTTAGGGTCCATTCACACCAGATGCCGGGGGAATGCGCTGAAACGGTTATTCCAGTGCAGTCCCACCACATGACAAGGCAAAATGCCTTGTCTCCTGTGTGCCCGATTCACACCACTGCATCGTCTCCTACTGCACGACAGCCAATTGAACTTAATAAAATGTCTGTGTGACATTTCAATAGAGTTTGTTTAAAAAAAAGAAAAAGGAAAGGTGCAGTACAGAGTAGCGATACCCGTCAGACCACACCAAACACCAACCACTGTGTTTTAAAGCAGTGGCTGGTGTGCATGGACCCTAAACCCTATACCCTATCTCCATTCATTTTTTTTTACTTGTGACTCAGTTGAAGAGATTTTTCCACACCTCCTGTCCCTGTGATGTCTGTACAAGAAACACGGGACGTAGTTATCACCAGAACAGGAAGACAGAGATAACAATATAAGGGTCTGCAGTGGTAGAACCATTTGAACACTTGAAAAATCTTTGAAAGGTTCCTCAAATATTGAAAGTGTTTCTGTATTTTAATGTGTGACTGCTCAGATGCCGCATCCCATCGATGATGTGCAGTGTACCATTGGCAATAGGTATGTCTGATAGTTTCAATTGCCAGTGCTAATCTTGAACAGTGCCTTTCACATTTTTTTCTGTCGCTTCCTATATTTACAGAAAAACTCCCCAACCGAGACAAAGATGTTATAACCCATCCCCAATCTATCCAAATCTAAATAAAAAGCTTTGGTTGGAGTTGGGCTTTAACAGATAATATAAGATGTATTTCTAAATGATATTCCAGTTGATGGAATATATTATAGTTTTACCATATGTGTGTTTTCTTGTTTTATAGTGAAGTTTCTTTCTATTTTTCTTACAGCTTTGATGAAATGGCCAGGTTAGATCTCCCCGCTGTTATCAACTTTATCTTGCAGAAAACAGGCCAGGAACAGATCTACTATATTGGTCATTCTCAGGGTACCACAATAGGTATGTCAAAATATTTTTTCCACAATTTTAAGGGCATATTTATACACATTTACAATGAGATTCTTCTTTCAGGGAGCCTGGGTTATTTGTTATTCTTTTTCAGAGTTTTCCATGTATGGGTCCTTCCACACAGTGCGGACGCTGCCAGGAGTCCCCTTGCTCAGCAGGGAATCTGTCTACTGATCCCTGCTGAGCAAGCGATGGCTGGGCCATGTCCACTCCACTTTTACAGGGTGAACACAGCCTGCTGTCCTCTATGGGTGGTTGGATGTAAACAGACTGCCTGTCCATTTACACCCAACTGCCATCTGATCCAATCTGCTAGACGGATAGGGAATTAATCCCCATCCGTCTTTTTTTTAGCGGATCGGATGTAGGTGGGTGTAAACAGACGCTCCATAGAGATAATGGAGGATCTGATCAGGTCCACCTAAAACAACAGGTGGACCCGATTTGGTCTGCCCATCTGAAAGGGGCCTTAGGCTAGCCATACATGCAGGCTTCCCTTGGTCAGCTGAAAGAGAGAAATCAGTAGATCCCCCCCATCCACACTAAACAGTAGAGGGATCTCCACTGCTGGCTAATGTATTCAGATAGCTGCAACACCTGTGTCTGCCAGAATACCGAGACTGTTACTGCATCGAAGACAACTGGGTGGTGCCAACAGGATCACCCATGGCTCGAATTTTAAACGATTCAGCAGGAAGTCCTAGTCTTGTATGGCTAGCTTTAGAAAATGCAGGATATGCTAGCCAAACATGACATTCTAGGGTAAGAGGGGATCTCCCATTGGGACTTTACAGTCCAGGGTGCTCAACCCCACTCAAAATATGTTGTAAAAACACCTACGTACAAATGAATAGATCATTCATACCCATATGGAAAAAAATATATTTGAAATATATTTTAAAAATGTTCTTCCCAAATATATTGACATATATTTGAAATACTACAATTTTGGCCATATTCAATATATACATTTCATATACACTGTATGTCTTTAAAAATACAAATCTACATTTTTGGAATGCATTTACAAATATATGTTTAAAATGACTTTTTTATGTCAATTTATTTTTTTTATATTTTTTTTTATATATATATTTTGAAATATATTGAATATGGCCAAAATTGTAGTATTTCAAATATATGTCAATATATTTGGGAAGAATATTTTTAAAATATATTTCAATTATGAGTAGGTAGGAGAAAATGTTTTCTTTCTGTGGTATTTTGGTGGATTTTTATAATGGATTCTCTTAATTCTTGAAATGTTTAAATATAAAATAGGAAATGTTTATTATATAGAATTATCTTATTTTATACAACAACATTTTATTGAACCATTATAAACAAAAAATGCCCTGTCACATCATATTTGACTATATGGCGTTATGCACACTGGGAGTCAAAAACACCGCTGTTACAGGCGTTTAGCTGTTTTTTTTTCTGCCTTTAAAAATGCTCCACTGTTAGCCTGTGTGTCTATGCAAAAAAAACATTGCTTGTATGTTCAGGAAAGGAGCGTTTGAGCAGACAAATGCTTAACACCTAAATGTTAGGCACTTCTAGTGCTTGAGCGTTCATTCATTCCAATGGACAAATTAGGGTGGATTTACTAAAACTGGAGAGTCCAAAATCTGGTGCAGCTGTGCATGGCAGTCAATCATCTTCTAACTTCAGCTTGTTCAATTAAGCTTTGACAATATAACCTGAAAGCTAATCGGTTAAGCCAGCCATACATTGGTCGAATCCCAAAATAATTTTCTTCTGAAAATCTTTTCTAAGAATTTTCATTCGAATTTCGCACCATTAGTAGGCAACAGAAACAGACGATTTTCATGCAACCATTGAATTTGAGTGATCAGGCATGTTGGAAATTTTTTGAAAAATGAACAAATTTCTAATCAATGATGGGAGAATTGTGCAAGAAATATAATTGAAAAAGAAATGAGCATGAGCTGACCTGGAAAGAAAAGAAAATTCTTGGCCACGAAAATTGTTTTCTGTAGCAGCATGTGAAATTGAAGACTTGGTTGGTCGACTTTTGACATCAGTGGTGGCACCATTGGGTTACAGTACGCACAAAATTTCCAATTTTCTAACGAAAATTTGTTCGGAATTCGCCCCATGTATGAGCAGCCTTTCTATGCAGAGCTGCACCATGTTTTATACTCTCCAATTTCAGTATATCCCCCCAATAAATTAAAGTAAACTGTAGGCAAAGCTTTTTTTTTTTTTCATTTTGGATAGAGTAAGGGAGGGTTATAACTCCTGTCAGCTTATTATTCTTCTGTAATAATACATTTCACATCATCATATCGCATGGCTTCACTTTTTTTTTTTTTTTTTAATCATCTTAGCCTTTATTGCATTTTCAAGCATGCCTGAGCTCGCCAAGAAAATCAAAATGTTCTTTGCTCTTGCCCCTGTTGCTACCATCAAATTCTCCAGCAGTCCACTTGCAAAACTTGGAATTTTCCCAGAATTTGTTATCAAGGTATGATTGTTTGTTTTATAGTTCATGTGTATTAAAATTTAAAAATGGAACTTTAGTCAGAAAATCCTACACTACAGGCTGGCCCCATTTGTAGGTATAGCTATTTAAAACATTAAAAATAAGTGCCTATACTGTTTAAAATAGAGTAATACATTGTCTCACCCTGCTCTGCACATGCTGAGTTGCTCTCTAGTTTTCAGCACTGTGCCCAAAATGTAGAGGCCAATCTGTCGACAGCCTAAAGATTTACTGCTGCTCAGAAGCTCTGGGCTTCAGCAAAATGGCAGCCTCCAGCAAGAAGAAACCGGAACAATGCTGGAGGCAATTTACAGCAAATGCTAATTTTGGTAGCATAATTTTTTTCCTGGAATGTATGTTCCTTGCTGAAGAGTATTATTTATTTATCAAATTGTCATGGATAAATTTCCAATTTAAGAACAAAATGTATTTTATGTTTGCTCTATCTTGTGCTCCATGTTTTCATATATAAAGGCGCACCTCAGTTTACGCACGCTTCAGTTAACGTAATTTTCGGTTTACGACTGAAAATCCATTGAAAATAATGCCTCATTTCCCCAGGTTGCATTGCACCTGGGAGGTTTATAGTGCCGGCCCTGTGCCTTTAAAGTGCACTTTATAAAGAGTTTTGTACAGATAAGACTTTTTTTTTTTACTTTTTTCTGACCTCTGGAATGGATTAATTGGTTTTCAATTAATTTACAAATTTTTTTTTTAATCATGTCCCGTACAGTATTTATGCCTTTAAAGTGCACTTTCTAAAGAGTTTTGAACAGATAAAATACTTTTTTTTACTTTTTTTCTGACCTCCGGAATGGATTCATTGGTTTTCAGTGCATTCCTATGTGTATTGGTTTACGAATTTTTTCGCAATACAAAATGTCCCGCAGAACGCATTCAATTCATAAACCGAAGTACGCCTGTATTACTAAAAATAGAAATGATAAAAAAAAAAAAATGTATATTCACATTACCAATCCTTAGGTGTGCTGGCTGCAGGGGTTTTCTTTTTTTTCTAAGGTGACAACAGTCATTTAACTTTTTGGATGGAAGAGCAGCATCCTCACTTTAGGACAAGAAGTATGTCAGGACTACAGAACATTCCCCACCCCTCATATCCACAACATAGAGGAATGGGTATTCTGTAGTTTACAGAAGATAACTTGGAAAGCTGATAACACTGAGATTCCAGTGCAGTGCAGGAAGGATGCTGCATTTCTTACGGGATCTGTATTTGCTGAAAATGTATTTGGCCTGGGAAAAAGAGAAAACTAATGCAGCCACCATTTCTAATGATCAGTAAGGGCTTATTAACACCAGCTCTATTGGGCTGCCTTGGGATCTGACTGAATAATCTCTTTAAAGCTCAGCTTAAACATTACATTCTGATTGTACAATCTCTGTATAAATGTACCAACACCTGTGTAGATTGGGGAACAATCTGATTGGATATCATTGAATTAATTGTTTAGTGGGGCATCTCATTACATAATGTTTGGTAAATATATAGGAGATTGGGCACATTGTGCATTTAGATTGTAACATGTATTGCCAATTAAGTAGTTTAAAGGCCATGCTAAAAAAAATCTATTTATTAAATATCTTATGTGGTAGGTCTTTGCACTTTCTAGCTGTTGGTAAATGGAGAGAAGATTGTTCAGTCACAGGAGTGTGGACAACTTAAAGATGGCCATACATGTTTTAATTTTCAGTTAATTCTAACTACTTTCCATCACACATAAAATAGCAAGCAGTCGCCATACTCTTAAGTGCCTTCAATCAACCAGCAGAATATGGGTGATTGTAAAGTCACCACTGGGCAAAAAAATTTTAGTATCAATGCTGATTATTGAAAAATTGCATCGATAAGTGGAAAAAAAAATATGAATTCACCATTTATATATTTGTGATTGTACCAGACAGTAGTGCAGTAAATTGTATAATTCTTTATATTTTTATTTTCAATTATTTTTCATTGATGTTTTCAAGTGTACAAAAATACAATCCCCTGTAACAACAGAGGGGAAAATAGAAAATAAAGTAAATATATAGAAAATGAAAGAAAGAGAAGTAAGAGAAGAAAAGTAGCCCCGTAAAGCTTACACATGACCACACATCAATAGATGGAAATACAATAAATTATCCAGCAGTATAATGACATTATGTTTCATCCGTTAAGGCTGGATCCAGGGGTATCTGTGACTCCATCCTTCAAATACCAAGTTTTCCAATATTTCCAAACAAGTTCTTTATACTTTTAAATTGTATTCCTTAATCAGGACGTTTACTTTTTTTTTTAAATGCGTATAAAGAAAAAGATGATGTTTTCTTTCATTGTTTTAGGACCTGTTTGGGAAAAAAGAATTTTTTACCACAGTCGGAATTTATTAAGTGGCTTGCCATCCACTTTTGTACCCATGAAGTGGTGGAAGAGATATGTGGCAATATTTTCTTTATTCTGTGTGGATTTAATGAGAAGAACCTTAACATGGTAAGCAAGGCTTTAGATAATTATCATTTGTAAGTAATAAACGTTATCCTTAGTATTTTAAAGTGGTTGTAAAGGCAAAACGTTTTACATGCAACCCCCTTCCTAAATTCTCACCTGAACCCGATCTCGATTCTGCGCTGTGCACAGCTTCAGCAGCTCCTCTCCCGGCTCTCACAGGCTTGGCTGAGAACAGCGGGAGCCATTCGCTCCTGCTGCTGTCAGTCAAACCAGTGAGCATAGAACAGGGGGTGGGGCCAAGCCTAGCTTTGTGTCTGAATAGACTCAAACAGCCCAGATTGGGAGTCAGCCCACAAGAGTGACCACCATAGAAACTAGCTTCCTATGGTGGGCAGTCAGCGCAGAGGCGAAGACAGGAGCACTGGCGGGGGGACCTATGAAGAGGAGGATTGGGCTGCTCTTTGCAAAACCACTGCACAGAGCAGGTAAGTATAACATGTTTGTTATTTTAATGAGACAAAAAAAGAAGCTTTAATATCACTGTAGCCTCCCTGGAGGTATTCTCGAGTGTAGCTTGGGGTAAAGTTTCAGTACCACAAGCGGTCCCCGAGCTACACTCGGGCTTACCATGCGATGCTGCTCCAGGATCTGTTCTTCTCTTACCTTGTCCTTCGCTCCCGGGATGTCCCTCCTGCAGTGTCCCCTGTAATGTCCTCCGGCGGATGCCAGCATCTGTCTTCTGGGTTCCGTTCCTTGCGACGTCGGGACGGAACGGCGGGAAGTTTGAAAATGACAAAAAGTGACATTCACTAAAATCATATAGTAAAACATTACTGTATCAAACCCATTTCACATACATTTTGTCCCGAGTGCTTTGTCCTGTGCCCTGCCTGCTGTTCTTTCTGCCTGGAAACTGAGAAACGTCCATGGTGTCCAAAAAGCGTCCCTTTAGGTCAAAATCGGTTTTAGACCAGCTAGGGGAACAGCGATAGTAAATCAGAACCACTTGCAGAATTGAGTGATAATGATTCGTGGGGAGATTCAGCATCAGACACTGAAAACGATTTTGCGACTTTGCTCAGTGATGTGCGAACTTGGCGCTATATTTCATTATCAGTGTTTTTGGTTTGATTATATTATTGAATTAAAGTTATTTTTATTCTATTATTATTTTTTATGATTATTTATTAAATTATAATTTATGATTTTGTGTTTCAAATTTTAACATACCCGGGATGTTTAATAGACTCTTGTTCGGACAGATTTCAGTGAGTTATTCCTAAAAATTACAGGCCTACAATAAAAAAAAAATACATATTTTTTATGCAAAACAATGTACCGCTTTGAGCACAGAAATATGGACATAATCAGACCGCTAGGGAGGTTAAAGCGGAGTTCCACCTGAAGAAAAAAAAAAAAGTCAGCAGCTACAAAAACTGTAGCTGCTGACTTTTAAAATACAGCCACTTACCTGTCCCTCGGTCCAGCGGTGTTCTCACCACGGCTGGTTTCACCAGCCGTCTTCTCTCCCCATGCCGGCATCTTCAATGTGGGCACCTGGCTGTGACAGCTTGCGGCTTCACAGCCGGGTGCCCACTGTGCATGCGCGTGAAGCACTGCGCTTTGTGAATGGTCCCATAGTCGTCTGGGACCTGTCACGTGTTCCAGAAGACTAGGGGAGGGTGGACAATTTCCAATTGCATAGGCAATCACAGCAGAAGTGGGAGCAGGTACCTGTCAAATTCGCCCCTCAAAGGTGCTAATCCTTAATGGGGAGTGGGGAACAAATCATTAAAGCGGAACTTTGCCTTTTGGGTGGAGCTCCGCTTTAAGTTGGAAGGGTCAGTAGGTGAGGAAACTTCTCAATGCTTTTCATACTGTTAAGTGTTTTTCCAATTTTGCAGTCAGATTTCAGAAACTCATTATATGTTATTTATGTGTTTCTATTGTCCCAGCATACCTAAAATAATAAAAAAAAAAGATTGCTTACCTTTCTAGGTATTTATTTGGAGCAGTTGTTTAGAATAACTTGCAATTTCATGCCTTGAATCATGGAGTTTCTCCTCCCCACAGCATTCTGCAACGTTTCTTTAACTCGGCATGGCTGTGGGAGGCTCCACCTGCACAGCCTCATCATTCAGTCACATATCCATCCACATGAATCTGTGGTGCATTAATTCATTTCCTACAAATACTGGAATATGCGTTAACCCTATGTTCATATCTGTGCACTTTGCGGGCCACATTTGCATGAACATGGCAGCCCATACATTTGAATGGGCTGTCTTGCCTGCGTTTTCTGCAGAAAAAAGGTTAATTCACCATTTTAGAAACGCGGCAGCTGCAAAATCGAATGGTGCCTTTGCACCATGCAATTTCCCTGCAGTATCTGCATCCGCAATTGTGCTCTGGTTTGAGATGCATGGGAGTGTCATTAAGAATTAGTGGCAGCATTACGCATCTCCAAAGATAAGTGCGTTTCGGCTGTGGGCGCTTGTGGGTACAGGAACAGCTGAAAATCTGCACCGGCAACCACCCTGTATAGTGTGAACCTAGCATTACATACAATGTACCACCCAAGCCTTCACCTCTTGTTAGAACAGTGTGCACTTCAACAGTAGTTTACAACTGATTATGAGCCCTACCAGCACAGTACAGCCTGGGTTAATTATGATAAACACAGCTCCCCTCTTTGAAAGAGAAGTATGGGTTTAAAAATAAAATAAACATTTATACTCACCTAGGTGGATGCAGCATCGATCCAATGCTGCATCTGTCCCCTGCCAGCTCTGCACTGAGAACTGAGCAGTCAAACACCATGATCACTCAGATCTTCCCTCCATTCTGAGCAAACCCTCCAGCGCTCAATGGAGTGCTGGGCTGTGAAAGGGGGCGGGAGCAGCTGGCTCAGGCTCTCAGTGGCGTGCCGAGAGGATGAGCCAGCTGGCGTTTCAGGCATCTGGGTGGATCCCGACCATTTGGTCAGGATCTTTTTAGAGAGCCTGGACCAGCTCTGTGACATCAGCCGAGAGTGGGTTAAAGCCTACTGTTGGCTGAAAATGGGTCACAGGAATGCAGAGCAAACTGTACTCCTGTGATCGCCAGGAAAAGTATAACCAAAATAGCTATGGGTATACTTCTCCTTTTAAAGAGGTTCATCAGCCAGTAAAAAAAAATAAAAAAAATAAAATCAGCAGCTACAAAAAATACTGTAGCTGCTGACTTTTAATAAAAGTACACTTACCTGTCCAGGGATCCAGCGCTGTCTTCAACCTAGCTGGTTCTTCGCTGGTCTTCGGGTACCCAGCACTGGCATCTTGGATTAAGAAGCCGGCTGTGGCTTCACAGCCGACTTTCCACCACACGTGCGTGCGTCATGAATGGACCCGCGGCCTCCTGGGATTGAGTTGTACCTGCACTAACTGATATTGCATTGGTGGGGGTTGGGAATAATTATACATAAGAAGAATAGATTTATTTTTTTATTTAATAAAAAGCATACATTTGGGAAAAAATATGTTCCTTTAAATACAGTTGTTTTGTTAAAAAAATAAATAAATACATTTTCTGTTTACTTTTTTTGTTTGCAATTATTTCCCTAAACATCCTCGTGAAAGCAAATGCAAGTGTACTTTTGAGCCATTTTTTTAAGCAAATTTAAATAATTCCCATTTTTTTTTTCAACAGAGCAGAGTAAATGTGTACAGCGCACATTGCCCATCAGGAACGTCTGTAAAGAATATGATCCATTGGGCGCAGGTACTGATTACACATTTATTTTTATTGTATTGATCAGTGAGGCTTGCAACCCTCACACTATAACTAAAGGCACAACTTTTTTTTTTTTTTCATTTTAGAGTGGAGAGTGGAGTGGAACATCTGTCAGCTTTTATTGCTGTTTGTGCCCCCCCCCCCATTAGGAGATTAGCCCTCCCTATCTGTCCAGGTGACCATTCAAGTGAAAGTAATAGAAATTCCCAAATTCTAAAGTCACCAGAATAGGAATATTATTATTATTCAGGATTTATATAACGCCAACAGTCTGCGCAGCGCTTTACAAAATGAAGGTAGACATTACAGTTACAATACAATTTGGTACAAGAGGAAACAGAGGAGAATGGAGGGGAATCCATCCAATTGGGACCCCAGTGTCAACTAGGGATTTCCTGTAACTTCCTGTTTTTTGTCTATGGGACAGGAAGTGAAGGGATATCATCCTAATGAATGACAAAAAAACTGACCAAGGTTTGTAATTCTCCCTTACTTTATCCAAAAGGAAAAAAATATTTTACCCTCAGATCTACTTTAACTGTCAGTGAAAGGCTATGAGGGTTAGAAAACTTGGTGGGATGCCACCCTTCTGCATGCATTAATAGGGTCAAAAGAGCAATCACCTGGGTCTGATATTCACTAGTCACAGAATAAGATAACTGTTTGTATGGTAACAGGCATCAACAATTCTTATTGAACTATAATTGCCAATAGTTTATCTAAAATATAACAGAGTCCACAATAGATCAACAAGACCCAATAGATTTCACTAAAGATAGTCTTTAAGGGCTGAAATACACTATCACGCGCTTTTGCCACCCCCTAAAAAAGCAATATGGTATGGATCTCTTTTTAGAGGGTGCTTGACAGATCGCTGTGAGGTGATTTGTTGCCTCTTCCGCACCTGTTTTAACCCTGAAAGCCTGCACTATTGCAACTGTGTACATTGCACATGCTTGCGGGGCATGGGGTATAATTTTTTTCTACAGCCATAAGACAAAGTATAGCCCTGTCTGGCCATTGTATTGAGTTAGGGAGCGGTCGGAAGGCGGTAAAAACCATGCCTCAGCCACTAATGTCTTGCACCGATAGGCTGTATCCTGAAGGTACTGTAGCCATACACAGCTCAGGTTTTGTTTCTGTAATCCTGAGGGCTGAATGAGAAATCAAAAAATCAGTTGATTCCCTCATCTGTGCTGACAGCATGGATGGAGAATTGTCCACTGCCAGCTGTTGTATTCAGGCAGTCGCTGCATCTGATTGGTTGTAGTTAGTTCAATTATATTCCACCTAGCTCAGTCGATTTTTAAACACACTTTTGTGGAGCCGGGTTGTGTTTGCAGGGCCACCCACGGCTCAAATTCCAGTTGATTCAGCAGGAATCAGGTAAAGTTTGAGCTACATATGGCCAAATTAATGGATAGGTAGCCTATTACTTGTCTCTACATTTACAGTGTGGATTCAGATTTTTTTTTTTTTTTTTTTTTTGCAGAGTGTGAAGTGCGGTGAGCTGAAGGCATTTGACTATGGTACTAAGGGTAACCTTGTTCATTACAATCAGGTAAGATTATTATGTTCTCTTTATGGTTAGCGTTTATCAGTTGTATGCTGATGCCTAATGGAGATGCATGCTGACTGTACACTAAGACCACATGCACACTGTAGACACAATGGGGTTGATTTACCTATCCTCAATTCATACTAGTGCAATTTTACGGGCTGCTGCCTTGTAAAATGCAGGGAAAAGGTCCCTACACCTTTCCAGAAATCGCAGGTGCTATTTCCAGTGTGGGCAGTGTGCTATTAAGAGTAATGGGACCCACCCATCGGTCCTGTGTTTTGTATGCAGGTGGTTGCAGCTGCGGGATGAAATGCGGGTCCCACAACAGCTTCCACCCAAACTAGTGTGAACCGAGCGTAAAACTGGAGAGTGCAAAATCTGGTGCAGCTGTGCATATTAGCCAATCAACTTCTAACTGCAGCATGTTCAATTAAGCATTGACAAAAATGCCTAGGTACATTTACATGTGTTTAATTGTATTTGCCGTTTTTAATGTCCAAAAGCTCCAAAGGAAAAGTGTTGACTGCCTCCAAATGCTGCTGCTACTAAACCCCTCTTAAAGGATAACTTCACCTTTTGGACAAGGATAATTAAATGCACATTTCTTTGCAGGTAAAAAAATGTGCAATTATCATTTTTCTCCAAAGGAGCTTGGAAGGCATTGCACCAGGGATCAGCAGATTGCTGATGCCATGCAAGTCTCCTGCAGACCTGTCAGAATATCTGCTAGCTGTAGGGGATGTACAGCCAAGCAGATATTCTGACAGGAAGCTTCATTTAACTACTACGGCGCTTCACAGCACCTTGGTAGTTCCTTGAAAACTACAAGCGCACAGCTGCTAAGGCTGTTGGGACTTGCAGTTCATTCATTAACGGAAGTCCGTGAATGAATGACGTTGCCATGTGGGCAGAGCCCCCCGTAGCTGCTGCTATGGGAACATGTTACATGTTCCACTCTAAAAACGGATGTAACATGTATCATGTTCCCAAAGGACAGCTTATCCTTTTACCACTTGCCAACCGCACTATAGCTGAATGACGGCTACAGTGTGGTTGTCCAGTTCTGGGAGGGCAATCGCCATGATCAGACACAGCTGATCACATGATGAGGTAAAAAGGCCAATCACAGCAGACTTTTACCATGTGATCAGCCTTGTCCAATGACACAGCAGATCACCGAATAAATACAGTTGCCGGTTATCAGTTGCGCTTTCCTCACGCTGTCACAGCATGAGGAAAGTACTGCCGATAACTGGCAACTGTCACAGAGCAGATTGACACTGATCATCATGGCACTAATGATCAGTGCCCAGCAGTGCCGCCTTTCAGTGCCCATCGCTGCATATCAGTGCAGCATTATTAGTGCCCATCAGTGCTGCCTATCTGTGCCACCTCATCAGTGCCCATCATTGCTGCATATTAGTGCCCATCAGTGCTGCCTATCTGTGCCACCTCATCAGTGCTCATCATTGCTGCATATTAGTGCCCATCAGTGCTGCCTATCTGTGCCACCTCATCAGTGCCCATCATTGCTGCATATTAGTGCCCATCAGTGCTGCCTATCTGTGCCACCTCATCAGTGCCCATCATTGCTGCATATTAGTGCCCATCAGTGCTGCCTATCTGTGCCGCCTCATCAGTGCTGCCTATCAGTGTAGCTTTATCAACGCACATCAGTGAAGGAGAAAAATTACCTTTTTGCTAAATTTTATAACAGAAACAAAGGAAACTTTTTTTAAAAAAAAAAGTCTTGCTCTTTTTTTTGTTTATAGCGCAAAAAATAAAACACCCAGTGGCAATTAAATACCACCAAAAGAAAGATTTATTTGTGTGTAAAAAAATTATAAAAATGTCATATGGGTACAGTGTTGTATGACCGAGCATTTGTCATTCAAAGTGTGAGTGTGCTGAAAGCTGAAAATTGGCCTGGGCAGGAAGGGGGTATAAGTGTCCAGTAGGCAGGTGGATAAAGCCAATGTGTGCACATAGGACAGCTAGGCTTTTATTGAGGTGCGTTGAGGGGCGTAAGGCAAAAACATCAGTTTAGGAGCAGCATGAAGCCTATTCAAGGAGAGCTTTTGGGAGTTTTCCACAACTGTGCATCGTCTACATGTGTTGAACACTAAAGATTAAAACAGGGAACTTTGGAAAAATGATTTTAGCTTGTGAACATTTCCAGAACATTTTGTTCTAGGTTGTTTGTGCTGCTATGATAGATAAAAATCATTGAAAAGATTATACATCCCCTTTAAACCCCCAGTTCCCAACATGTATGCCCTTGGGCCCCCCAAACAGTGACAGGTTATTTCTTGGTACTTACTCAGGCCAGTAAAAGAAAAAATATGTTTTATTCTTTTGCCCTGTCTTTAGATAGGGAGAATCCAAAATGTGAGTGGTCACCACTTCCTATTGTGTCTATAAGGAAGCATGTGAAGAAAAATCTCACAAATTGAACACAGATGGCAAAAAAAATGACAGTTCTGTCTCTACCCTGCTGTATCCAGAATAAAAGAAAACATTTAGCTTTAGATATACTTTAACCACTTCAAGTCCGCACACTTTCACACCCTTCCTGTCCAGGCCAACTTTCAGCTTTCAGCGCTATCACACTTTGAATGACAATTGCGCGGTCATGCAACACTGTACCCATATGAATTTTTTTGAGACACATAAAACTTTATTTTGGTGGTATTTATTCACCACTGGGATTTTTATTATTTTTGCTATATAAATGAAAATGTTCAAAAAGTTTGAAAAAAAAGTGTTTTTCTTATAAAATTTTGCAAATAAATAATCTTTCTTCATAAATCTTGGCCAAAATATATTGTTATCTGTTTAGTAAAAAAAAAAAAATAACCCAAATTAGTTTATAACCAAAAATTATAATTTTTAAAACTTTTTTTACATTTTTTTTTTTATATTTTTTTTTTTTTTTTTTTTTCTTAACATACTGTCACCCTAGCAGTACAGTGTCATCATAGTGACACTGTACTACTTGTGGGGGGTGATGAAGAATTTTTTTTTTTTTTTACACTGATAGCTTTTACACCCATAAAGGTTGTAAAAGCAATAATTTCTCCTTCTCTCTGGCTGCATTCTTGCAGCCATTGAGAAATACTGTGCGAGTTGTGATTGGTCACAGATTGTCACATGGTACAAGGCTGTTGTGAATAGCTTTGTACCATGTGATCTCATACACAGATTTCACACAAAGTAAGCAATGATGTCAGGAAGTGACATCTTGCTTACTACTGTTCATGTGATCACTGATTGGCCAATCAGTGATCACATGATCGGGACCTCACACAGAGGTCCCGTACAGCGGTCGGTGTTCTGCTGCGTCCGGAGAACACAGTGGGCACCGGATTGCGGTGCTGCGCACTGCCAGGGAGCGCGCACAAGCAGGGAAGCGGGGAGAACGTTTATAAACGGCCACCCACCCCTGCACTATATAAACGGTCGGACAGGAGGTGGTTAAATGTCTTTTGCTGAACACCATCCTTACTTCTTGCACAGCTATACAGTTTCCTCTTCTGTACTGAAATTACTGTGAGCTTCTCATATGCAGCAGGTCAGATAGCATCCACCTTGTTTCCTGGCTGGAGAGCATCCAGCATCATCTAGATCTTTTTTTCCCCAGGGTTACTCTCCCTGGCCTGCCCCTTTCATTCATTGGATTTCAATCATTTCAATCATGGAAGCTCAACATCATTTAGGGTGGTCTGCATGCAAATAAATGTGGCTCGGAATGCCCACTCCTCCAGATTGGCACCCACCTTTTGAAGGCTGCTTAATGTTTGTTTAAATTCTCCCAAGTGCCAGCTCACTGCTTGCTTCGTGGCTGAGGGCTCTTGAGAGCAGTGTTGAGGCAGTGAGCAGAGATGTTTCAGGAAGCTATATAGGACAACCCGATGACCCCTCCAACAAGCCATTGCATTGCATAGTGAAGCATAAAGACCCAGTGATGACACTGGTTCCAAAATAAAATATGTAATAAAAAATGAAAGGATTTATTTAAAATGTGATTAGTTGATGGGAGGCAAAAGGAGGAAGCAGGGAAGGCAAATGTGAGCAGATTAAACTGTAGCTTTAACCATTTCTTGTTAAGATGCCAGTGTAGTCCTAGCCTAAGTTTGCTTATTTAAATAGTCAAACTCTGAAGTCTTATGAATAGTGTTCATCTGTGTAATGCTGTCTTTCAGACTACTCCACCTTTCTACAATGTGAAGGACATGAAGATCCCAACTGCTCTGTGGAGTGGAGGCAATGACTGGCTAGCTGACCGTAAGGATTTGGCTTTGCTGCTCACTCAAGTCAGCGATCTGGTCTACCACAAGGAGATTCCGGAGTGGGAACATCTAGATTTCATCTGGGGTCTGGACGCTCCATATAAAATGTACAATGAAATAGTTCAGCTACTGAAGAAAGCCTCCTGAACATTAACATTTTACAGATAAATTATGTAACAAATAATAATAGATTAGGCAAGAAATGTTTTAGAGAATTTTCATCATCAAAATACTTTGAATTTGTCAAACCGTTCTCTATGAATGGGCACCTAAACAACACCAACACCAACTACCAGTGCCAGGACAATGCCTTTTACCACCAAGACCAAAAAATCAAAGTCTGCCCCCCCACCCCGCCCCACCCCCACTATGATCTGTGAACTGAGCCAACAGCATAGGTTGCACCCCCACCCGATCCCAAGATGATTGCCTCTACTGCTCACTGCTTGGCCCGGCCTTGACACTCATTAAATGGTATATGTGTGTCGGTCGGGCTATTGCATTGTCCTAGCCTTTTTTTTTTCCTGAATGCAAAACATGCCACTAATTTATAAGTGTGTGTCTCTGTAGTGGGAGCCTATGTTCTGTGTCTTCAATACAGTTTTCTTGAAGGATAAGTTCACCTTTCGGAACATGTTACATGTTCCACCTGTATTTAGGGTGGGACATGTAACATGTTCCAGCAGCTGCAGCCTCTCCCAGTGACAGGGAGTGGGGGATCTTCTGCCCGCACCTGCTGTCACTATTTGAAAATAAGTTGGCCTTTTGGGGCTCCGCCTACACAGCCGTGTCATTCATTCACAGTTTTCTGTGAATGACGTGAACTACAAGTACCGTCAGCCGTTGTGGCTGATGGCTTGAAGTCCTGAATGGACTGAGAGGTCGTTGATGAGTGGCCTTGTAGTTCATTCACAAGCCCTTCAACTTGTAAACAGTCAGCCCATATGAAGGTATGGGCTGAAAGCTGCAGGGCTTGTCTGCAGGAGTCTGGCATTGCACACCTGATCCACTGATCACTGGTGCAATGCTTTCTGGGCTCCTTCGGGAAAAAATAATTAATTCACATTTTTTTTTTTCTTGCAAAAATATGTGCATTTATTATTTTTTTTACGAAAAGGTGAACACATCCTTTAAGTAACTAATTTTTGATGTGAATCTGTTGCAAAGTTTATTATTCTGAGATTTTGTCGATAATAATACTTTCCTTTGCTGTGTTACTTTGTATGTGAGGTATGACGACAAACATACTGAAGAATAGCTTAGTGTTTACGTATACCTTAATGGTCACTGAGCAAACGGGCCCAATTCATTTGTATCATTCACTTTGTTAGTATATGATCCCTCAAAGTTATAAAGAAACTTTATCTGAGAATTTCCTAGGGATAAAGGAAGACTTTTGTTATGTTATCAAATTGATGAATGTTTTGCAAGTATTTGAATCAAGACATAACATTGTTTATGCCTTTTTGACAGTCTTTGTGAAGAACAGAACCATTGTGAATCTGACTGCACTGAAATATGTCAGCCTCTATGAGCCCCAACTTAAAGGGGGTTTCTTGGTTTCAGTCAAGAGACTTTATTCTCAACAGGAGAAGCAGCTAATTGTGTCCCATTTTATTCATAATCCAGAAATGTAACTTTTAAACTTTCAGCATGCTGCTGTCCCTGCTTTAGACTGGCATATCAACATTTTACCATGTTTTATTAGTATTAAATGTCTCCCACATTGTGCAAACACTTTACTGATAGAAGTTCATTCCATTTGCAGCTGAAATAGACTGCAGAAGCTGCCGGAGGTGGCCTGTGCTAGATAGAAGAATCAAATGCACAATGGGGTGATTCTGATTAAGACTGGAAATTGCCTTTGCAGTCTAGCTATTTTAGTTTGCCTAAAAAAAAATTCTGTGAGGTTCCCAAGTGTATTTTATTTCTGTAGTTCCAGGGTCTAAAGTTTATTATTCTCTAGTTCCAGAGTATAATTTTTAATGTATTTAAATGATTTTTATGCACAATAAATAGAGAATATATAACATTTCCTTACGAAGTGAATTACAAAAAAAATGGTTACCTCATTTCCTATGGCATGCAATGTATTTTCTATTTTTTTTAAATTTATTTTTATTTCAGGTACTTCTATAGCACATCCCTAACCCTCAAGGGGTGTACAATCTAAGGTCCCTAACTGACATTCATACATACACATACTAGGGCAATTTTAGACAGGATCCAATTAACCTGCCAGCATGTCTTTGAAGTGTGGTAGGAAACCTAAGCAGGCACAGGGAGAGCATGCAAACTCCAGGCAGGTGGTGCTGTGGCTGAGAATCGAATCAATGGCCCTGGTACTGCCAGGCGGAAGTGCTAACCATTTAGCCACGGTGCTGCTAGTTCATTTTCAATAGGCTGGCAAAGCATCTTAACACACTTGACCCTTTTTTTTTTTTTCAACACACCACAGTGCAGTGTTGCACTGAAACTTACACATTGATGTGAGCTAGAAATGTGCATTGGGGTTGACATTCAAAATAAATGTCACTGTGTCGCAGATTGCACCTTAAATTTCTTTAGCAATTAAATTTGGTAAAATGCGCATATGTTTCTGCAACACACTAACGTGATATGGGCCCCTAAAGTTTTACCATTTCTTTGGCAGTCTGTACACTGGTTGAATGTTGCATTTTGCAGCAGAAGTTGAAAAAAAAAAATTTCATAGGATGTGATGCAATCCCATGGCTTATCGTTCAGCGTTAGAATGCTTCTTACCAAATAATCCTCTAACATAAGATAACCTGTCTCACAACATGTTCGCTCATCACCATAAACCATTAATAGCGAATTAAAAAGGTTAAATGCAGAGTAGCAAATAATTAAAAACAATATGTGCCGCAGAAGTCAGCCATCTACTTCCCAAATACTTGTCATTTTTATATATGCAATGTATAGGTTGGTGATCTGTACGAGGCCAGTGCTGCCAACAACAGCTACATTTAGGTCATGGTGTTAAAGCAAGACATTCTTGATCATAGAGCTATTCAAGATTGTGAGAGAAATCCTAAAAATTTGCAAGGTCATGGCCTAGAGATCAGGATGGGTGGCACTGGTTTATGCAAGAAATATGTAGAACCTATATGTAATGATGTATATAATAAGTTGGTGTGCTCTCACCCTCTAAACCAGCTGCACTCTCAGGATACAAACTGCAATATTAATTTCCAAAGGTTACACTTTTAATACCATAGATTTAACACTGAGCGGAAGCTCGGCCATATAACAGTGTTGACCACATTACTGGAAATTCATTTTTTACGTAGCTCTTCTGTGACCCTAGATTTGTAAACAGAAGTTTTACATTCAGTATCTGTGCTTACCAGTTGCAGGATGGATGACTGCAAGGCTTGATGACTGTAAGTTACAGCATTAATATTGCTCCCCGGAGTCAACCATTGGATGTCAAGCCTGTAGGAGCTAGATCCTCTTCGGCACTTATCTGTGCCTCTGTGCCTTCAATGGACCAGATAAGAATCATATTGACTTGTGTAGGATTATAATTCATTATTAAGGGCCCTTCACATTAGAACGCGGTGTAGGAATCCCACACTAAGTACGGGTTTCCCGCAATGCATTCAGATAACACTGCCTTTGTGATCTGCAGTGGGTGTCTGTGCAATGTTAACAACACCCCCAAGCGCAGTGCGTTTGCCTGCAAAGGATGGCATCTTAGGTACCATGCGATCTGGTCGCAGTGTGTTTCCAAAGGTAGTGCATGCACAACGCTTACCCCCGGTTCACATCTGTGCGGATCCGCACAAAAATCCGTGCAGCTGCACCACTTGCACAGAGAAATGCGGACCCACTGGTGGGTGCCATTACTTCTAATGGCACGCCGCCCGCACTGGAAAACGCAACTGTACTGGGAACCGAGGTTCCCGTGCGGGTTGCGTTTTCCAAAGAAGTGCAGGGACTTCTTACCTGCATGTCACGGGCACGGGAGTCCATTCAAATGAATGGGCTCTCGCGCCTGTGCAAAGCGCGGCCCGCACTGCCGCATATACGTGAATCGTGGGGAAGAGCAGATTGATTTCAGCCAATTCAAAATGAATGGACTGAAATCGCACCGTGCAAAACTACATGTGAATCGCACAGCACGTTCATGTGTGCCATTCCTAGTGTGAATGAGACCTAAGGCACATCCATCAATCTATTCCAAACTTGTAACATGATGCTAGGGGAAAGAGGGTTTCTTTTCCAACAGCAAATTTCTCTCAAACCTTCCCAATCTGTTGGAAAAATCTTTGAAATGTATTGCCCCTTACGGTGCTCAGAGATGCAAAGGCAATCGTTAAAACGTGGGGTTTTTTTTGTTTGTTTTTTTAATAGATTATATCCGTGCTATCAAATTCACAATTTTTTTTTATCTTGGAGCATATTGTTTTACTTGTGCATATAGGTTGTAGAAAGAAAGTCACATTACTGCTGCATCAGTCATAAGAATTACTAACAAGAATTACATTTGAAAAAAAAATAAAATCTATTAAAATTAAAAAAAAAAAAACATTTTAATGATTGCCTTTGAAATGTATTGCCCCTTATGGTGCTCAGAGATGCAAAGGCAATCATTAAAATGTGTGTTTTTTTTTTTAATAGATTATATCCGTGTTGTCAAATTCACTATTTTTTTTATCTTGGAGCATATTGTTTTACATGTGCATATAGGTTGTAGAAAGAAAGTCACAATACTGCTGCATCAGTCATAAGAATTACTAACAAGAATTACATTTGAAAAAAAATAAAATCTATTAAAAAAAATAAAAAAAAACATTTTAATGATTGAAATGTATTCCCCCTTATGGTGCTCAGAGATGCAAAGGCAATCATTAAAATGTGTTTTTTTTTTTTTTTTTAATAGATTATATCCGTGCTGTCAAATTTTTATCTTGGAGCATATTCTTTTACTTGTGCATATAGGTTGTAGAAAGAAAGTCACAATACTGCTGCATCAGTCATAAGAATTACTAACAAGTATTACATTAAAAAAAAAAAATCTATTAAAAAAAAAACAAAAAAAAAAACATTTTAATGATTGCCTTAGAAATGTATTTCCCCTTACGGTGCTCAGAGATGCAAAGATTTTCCCAACAGATTGGGAA